CCAACCCCCCCATATCCCCCGCCCATCCCCAAGAGTTTCTCAGCGGATTTGGGCCGTACTCAGCAAGCGCAGTACATCCCCCAACTCAGATCTGAAAAAAAATCAGTGGAAGTTTTTTTCCTTTTTTTCCTTTTTTTCCTTACTGGTCGGCAGACAGCCGACCGGTCAGCCCAACTGGTCGGCTGTAATACGGTCGGCGGTCGGGGTCGGCAGGGATGCAACCCTGCCTCTTGTAAATGTTCTGGCCTGCCTTCACTTAGGGCGAGCACAAGTCTGTACAGGGCCTCAGCCGAGATGTGGGGTGAGCCCTAGAAGGGCCACTGTGCAGATTCAGGCCCACATATAGATTCCAACAGCCCTTTAGCGTGATCACACTGGCCTGTACCCAGGCCTTGGCACATATTAGCAGGCCCTCCTTACTTAGGGAGGGCAAGAACTTTTCCAGCACTGCCGAGGACTCAAATCCTCGCACCGCCCACACACTGATTTTAATCGACTTCAATTTTTCTTATTTTTATTTTTTCCATATTTTAGTTTTATTTCAAGTTTGGTAAAGAATTTTGATGTAACGCTGGGACAAATGTTGTTCAGTTTATTTTTCTGCTTAACATGTCATTTTTTCCAGATTTTTTTGCTGCCTGTGCCAGAAAATACTAAAATAGCCGCCAAAAAAAAAAAGCCACCAAAAAAAAAGACACCAAAAAAAAAAGCCACGAACACAATTGAGTTGAGGCACCCGTAAAAGACAAAAGCACATGCAAACGTGAAGCAGCACTTGCTAATGCTACCGTCTTCACCCAAATAGAATGCATGGTCCTTTTCGCTGTATCTAGACTGAAAGTTGGCCCAAATACAGCCATAACGAACGGGGGTTCTATTCGGGTCAAGATGGTAAGTTTGCAGTCATTTCACTCTTTTGTCTCCAAAGAGGATGTCATTTCCTTTTTTTCCCCTTTTCTTTTCTTTTCTTTTCTTTTCTTTTCTTTTCTTTTTACTTTTTACTTTTCTGAGGCTGCATCAACCCTTTCCACAGGCAGCAGACGGCCAGTAGCCCCCTGAACTCAGGCCAGAAACGATTTAAAAGGCCCGGTGAGGCCCAGACAGACCCCCCCCCCCCCCCAGATTTATTTGTTGTAGCCATTCCTGGCACCGTCGTTGTCGTCATTGTTCTTCTTCTTCTTCTTCTGCTGCTGCTGCTGCTGCTCCTTAAAGGCCAGTTGAGGCCCAGACAGAGCCACCTCACGACTTATTTGCCATCGCCATTGCCGTCACCATCATTCCTTCGTCTTCTTCTTCTTCTTCTTCTTCTTCTTCTTCTTCTTCCCACGACTTATTTCCTGTCGCCCTTGCCGTCACCATCGTTCCTTCTTCTTCTTCTTCTTCTCCTTCTTCTTCTTCTTCTTGGATTGGATTGGATTGGATTGGATTGGCCTTCCAAGTTAGGGCCCAATAGGAGGAGGTCAGAGATGGTGGAGGAACAATGGCACAAAATTTGCACACATACATCAGCGCTCTTCTTAAATTATATACACATGATACATCCCTCTCCTCTTAGCCCATGCCGTTCGGGACTCTGCCTCTGTGTACTCACCATGGTTTCGTTGCAAGCGGAGGATCAAAAACAAGCCCACTTCTTCGCAGATGATTAACCTCTGTGCTTCATCATGGCCACTTATTGGTTAAACGTTTGTTAAAAATGAGACACACGTTGCAAAAAACTTGAAAAAAGTCTTAAAAACAAAAACGAAGGGATCACAAAGAGCGATGCATGGAGTAAAACCAAGCCGACCCAAGCCAACCAACCCAGCACAAGCCAAAAAAATCCCTCTCCTTAGAAAAGACAGCAACCAACTCAAAAAAGAATGGTTGAGATGGAATCGGCGTACCCTCATTAGACGATCACCTAAGGCCAACATTGCATGTGTCGAGCAACCAAGTCAAAAAAGAATGGTTGAGATGGAATCGGCGTACCCTCATCAGACGATCGCCTAAGGCCAGCATTGCATGTGTCGACCCGCTCTCTGCCGCCTCACGGAACTCCGCCAGTGCCTGGATAAACCCACCATCACACCCAGAACCCAGGTCAGAAGCAGAAGCAGACGAAAGCAGAGCGCAGAATGAGGAGGAGGAGGAGGAGGAGGAGAAGGAGACAAAAACGAGGAGGATGACAACGACGACAATGAGGATGAGGAGAAGGGGAAGGCGGTCAAGGAGGAGGAGGAGGAGGAGGAGGAGGAGGAGGAGGAGGAGGACAAGGACACGGAACAGGGACGACGACGAAAGAGGAGTGTTGGCACATTGGGTAGACCAAAAGGGGAGGAAGAAGCACGCGTACAGTAATGGGAGGGAGGTAGAAGAGTGGAAGGGAGGGAGAGAGTGGGGGGGGGGGGGGAATGACGCATCATCAAAACGTCTACACAACTGACCTGCACAGTTTGCTAAGTACGACAGGCACTACATTTGGGTGGTTGAGTGAAAACTAGGATTTTCTGGAATGAATATGACCTTCACTACGGCTAGATACCATTAAAAAAAGGTTCCAAGTGTGAATATGCCCTGACTGAAAGTGGGTTTTTACAGAAAGTATATAGGCAACACACATGTACCCAACAAGTCAAGAGCCCAAATCTTCTTGACTACAAACAAGTTTCTGAACCATCTCCCTTTCTCTTTTATTTTTTTTTTTTGTGGGGGGATCGGGTTGGGGGGGAGCGTCCCCATGTCGAAGTCAGCAGCTGATTTGATAGAACGATTTTTTAAGTCGATTTCACAATTGTAATCGCTTCCCTTGCGTAATTGATTGTATTGCATGTGGTGCCTTCGTAGACATTGGCTCCGCGTGAAACTTCATAAGTCGCGACTGCGTTGAGAGACTGCGCCTAGGGGACCGGGTGCAGCGCTTGGGTAGATCTGTAGCCTCTACCCTAGCCAACAAAGAGCGCATGGTTGTTGACGACTACGTTAAGGACGTAGCCTGCACCTTCTCTTATGGAGGTGAGGAACTTAATCACAAGATTTGACTTCGTTCCGGTACTACCGGACCAAGATGGTTACTAACCGCCAGCCAAAAAACTGGTCCCCCCCCCAAAAAAAAAAAAAAAAAAAGGTTACCCACCGCCAGACAAAAGAAAAAAAGAAGAAAAACTCCATGATTTTTTTTTTTTTTTTTTTTTTTTTTTGGGGGGGGGGGGGAGGAGAGGGGAGGCGGGGGGAAGCATTTTGCGATTTATGCGTGCCATCCTTGTGCAGGGGCCATGCTAATCTTCTTTCTCTGTATCGTTCCAATTTGACCGGATGTCCCAAAGGACTGGTGCAGCAGTGCTCCGTTTTTTTCACTTGATGCACAAGGGAAATCGGAAATCTGCATCGGGAAAGACATCGGTGCAGCGGTGCTCCGTCAGAGGTGCTGGTGGGCTTTTAAGGAGCTGACGCTTTATTGCTCAAAATCAGCCCTCTGCAGGCATACTCACACAAGGACCTTTTCGACACAAAGCTCTGGACGCAAATTCAGTCAGATTCATCCAGATCTGGCCCTAATTGCAGTCAGATACTTTTTTACTTTCTTTCTGGAAAGCGCTACTGTCGCATGTCTAACCGGCATCGATCAGAACTGGGAACCGACCTCTCAGAGACAATACAAAAATAGCACAGCGGAAGACTGAAATACCAAGATCTGACTCAGCAGGGACAATGACAGGACTTGTCAGCACTCATCATCACTCTGTGTGAGTGGACTCAGCGTGGCAATCATGGAAGGGGCGCTGAGTCCGAACCATACACGGATGAAAAGGAGGGAGAAGAGACAAAGGGGGGAGGGGGATAGGGAGGGTCAGCCACCATAGCCTGATGAACCCAGTCTCCAATATATCCCCAATGTCGCTGCTCGTACAATGTCAAATCGCAATGTCACTGAACTGGGCGAAGCCCGAAAGTCACCAAGTCTCAATGTCAACTCTCTCTCTCTCTCTCTCTCTCTCTCTCTCTCTCTCTCTCTCTCTCTCTCTCTCTCTCTCTCT